CTCCCAGTTTCAAATTGCTGCTCCACCCCAGCTATATTTGGGTAGAGTACAGTGCAGGCATTTCATACAGGTCTCTCCAGGAGGACAAGTAGTGCCTGTGTGAAGCCCACCACTAAAGAGAGTTGCCGTACACATTTGGAAAGAGGTAACCGGCATCAGAAATATTTCCAAACGTTAATTACGCCAAACTGAACCATTCCTAACATTTCAAAGCCTCATTGTCGGGCATCACACAAAGCAGAAAACGTTTGTCCCTCTGAAGCCCTGGGGAACCAGTTCTTAGGCTGAATGCTCCCTTCTGTTTGATGCCTTTCCTTCTTCCTTTTTTCCCCTTATAGACAGTTAAGGGCTCTTGTTCCTCCTGCAAGCAGCACACTGATTGCCATAACATAGTGTGCCTTAGAGAATTGCCTGAGCTCTAAATATAACCTTACTCTTGTTTTAATACCTCTCCAAAAGCCACAAGAGGGGAGAAAAAAGGCTATTAATAATACTCTAGCCTGACCTTTATATTCCCTTGGCATACTATATTTTCTTCTCTGGAGTACACCTATCAGATGGACAAAAGCTCAGCTGTGAAGGGAAAAGCACCACAATGAAGACCACAGAAAATGAGTTGTGCAGACACCTCTGTGATAAAATGTAGGACTGATTCACTCCTGGAGCATAAAATACCTGCTTCTGAAATCTAAGGGTCAGAGCTGCATATCTGAGGTTACATTTTCTGATGTATGATAATCTGCATGGCTACCTAATCTGTAGTGCTGTCTCCAAGGCACCAGTCACTGTAAGAACCAGGCAGCAAAGGAATGCATAGGTAGCTTGACCATTGCGTAGCAGAGGTGTTATCATGAAAAGAAATAAATTGCAAAGGGTCAGGCTCTTTCCTCATCTTGAGTGGTGTACATGTAGTCCCACTAACTGCAATAGGACTGCTTGTGGGACACAGTGTTCTATGTCACAAGTAAAGAGAACAGAATCTGGCCACAAATTACCTCCTGTACCAAAAGTGAGAAAACATGTCAAATGGAAGTAAGCTTGTCTTTGAAAGGTGCAACATCCTCCTAATAAAAAAACATTTGGGACTTCTGCTCTGGAGTTCCAAACACTTTTGTGGTTTGGGTTTGAATCCACCTTTATCCTACTCCTGGTATTACCAACCCCTTGAGAAGTTACCAAAGGGACACAGGAAACACATGCAGCTCAGGTCTGAAATGTATGGATGGACGAAAGGAAGGGAAGGGGAAGAAAACCAGTCTTGATTAGAGCTATGCATTTGGCTCTGAAGGGATTCCAGAAAGTCTCCCAAACTGGTTTATAGTGGGGTTTGGTTTTGCTTAAAAGTGCTATTAATAAGGTTGAAATTGTGTAAGATTTATTTTCTTTTCCCTACCAAAGAATGGCAAGACAATGAAAAGACCGGCTCTCCCGTTACCGAGGCCCAAAAGTGAGTCCGTCAAGAATGAGAAAGTTCACTAAAAGCACAAGTCAGAGAAAAATAAAACCAGATATTGGAATCTCCACACATTCCTCAGTAGTTTGAAAGGAACTTTGCTCATTTGAAAGTTAATCTGCCAAAAAACTGACAGAGGGTCACAAGGTTGGGTATAATATTTAAATCTAACTCATTTAATTTGTAAAAAAATAGTTAGATTTTAATATTATATCTATCCTTGTGAACGAATTTTGATGGTTTTATGGTTACACTCTCCTATTTCCTGAGGGCTGATTAATAACATCTCCATGTACAGGGGAGTAAGAGAGTGTAAGATAATGCTCCTTTCCTCATGTGATCATAGAGAGGTTGCACAGATGAATTGTCCAGAAATGAGGACAAAGCTAGTTCATAGGGCCACAGCCCACCCCTGCAAGCAAATAGACAGGATGGGGCTAGAGATGGATGGCATAGGGGACAAGCTGACAAAGTCCTGGCTCTTTCCCCCCTTGCCTGGGTCTAATGGTTGAGTCAGCTGGGCACAAAGTAGGCAGCAAAGGAATGCCTAGGTAGCATGCTGTTGTAGCAGTGGGCTGATGCAACACATTGCAACACCGTTGTTGAGGAGGAATTGAGAGAGAGAGGAACATTTGAATCACATTGCTTTCTGTGCAGTTTTTGGGGGTAGTACAACAACATGGCACTCCGTTATGCAAGACTACCAGCAAGGTCTCAATCCAGCTCTTCACTGCTATTTTTCCCTCTGAAATCCTACACAAAATACGTCCCGAGTCTCCCACTGGTTGCACAGGTGAATGCATAAAGCCACTCAGGTGCGGAAGTGTTTGCAGAAGCATATGGCAACTCTTTGATGGGAACAACAGTTTTGTTCGAGGGCAACAACACTCCCCTGCATTATTTGTGCACCAGGCATTACAGCAATGTCTCACTAGTCTTTTCTTTCTTTTATGTTTGTAAAGTGCCTGGCACATGGACGAAGTTACCAAAAATCAATGAGAAATTGGGGTGGGGGCAAATGAACAGCCAACTTTCTAGGGCCCTGATCCTGCAAATTACTCATGCGGAGAGTAAATTAACTTGCACTGGATAACGAACCTTCTGGATTAACTGGGATCCCCGTATACAGTCTTTAGCTCTTCCAATTCAAAGCCATCCCTTAGTGAGACCCCTGACATGAGGGAAGGGTCCAGATGGGCCAGTGTAAGAGCAGGCGGGACCTCCTGGTTACACCCTTATCAGAGCCTCCCGTCCTGGGACCAAGCCCTCCAGCGGCAGGGGGCATTTGTGCAGTGCCAGCAGGGTGAGACTAGGGAAGCAGGACAACTGGCCAAGGGCAGCGAAGGTTTAACAGCCTCGCTGGAAAGAGTCTCTGCGCTGGGGTTCAGCTGCGAGGGTGGCTGGCTTGTCCTCTGCAGGGGCCGTGGCAGGTTGATGATGTTTGGGGTGTGGGCCCGGGGCCAGGAAAGGGCTGCAAGGGGGCAGCATAGTGTGGCCTGCATAAGCTCCCCAGGAACAGTGAACAATGCACTGCAGAGGCAGGCAGGCACCTCGGCTAGCCCACACCCTGCCTCCCTTTGTGGACACACAGTCCACCCACGCCCCTTGGCACCGGGGAGCCCATCCGAGGGGCTCCCCCAGTGCCATAGCAAGGGGCGGGTGAACGAGGTGACCACCCCAGACGCTGAAGCAAAGGGGTGCCAGCTGGGGCGGGGCGCAGCATGGAGCCATGAATGACTTGTCTGGGTGGGGGGTAGGGTCATGTGCCCCCTAGATCTGTGCTGGGGCTGCGGGCTTTGCCCTGACACCAAACGTCAGTGCTACAGCAATGCACCCCTGCAGCCCACCTGAACGTCTGCCTTTTGCCCCTAGACACGGGGCGCTTCTACACGTGCACTTGAATGCACAATGGCTTAGTTAAAGCATCACCAAAAAAGTCCACTGGTGGGGGGCAACACCCCCCGTCTCGCGTCGGGTTTCGGGAGAATACGGTAACGCCTCCCGGTCACGTGTCTCTTGTCTATTTTGGCAGGAAACCCCCCAAATAAGGAAGATGGGAGTGGGGGGGC